CGTACGTACGTACGTACGTACGTACGTACGTACGTACGTACGTACGTACGTACGTACGTACGTACGTACGTACGTACGTACGTACGTACTACCTCCTCCTACTCTCTCTCTCTCTCTCTCTCTCTCTCTCTCTCTCTCTCTCTCTCTCTCTCTCTCTCTCTCTCTCTGTTGTGTGTGTGTGTGAAAGTAACAAGGGGCATGGCAGGAGAGTTGAGGATCCCCCCTTCATCCGATCGAATTAGTTGAGATAAAAAGCAAGCTCGGCTTGCTTGAGCTAAGATAAGGAGGCTCACCTAATCATCCCAAAAGGAAATTAAGAATCCTCACATAGATTATAAGTATTATGAAAAGCTAATACTAAAATTATGAGAATACCGAGGTTTTCCAATTAACTGGGGAGTGTGGAAGCCGTGATGAGGAAGGTAACCGTCTCAAGTGATACTCAGCAAGGCGGCGCTCGTTCCTTTCCTGAATGAGTTGTAATTGCAAGGCACCCATCTCTTCTTCGAGCTTCGAAACTGCATGCTCCAGCATGGCAATGTTAACGAACAGCTCTCGAACCTGTACAATTTATCTCAATAAAAAAGCTTACAAAAGGAAACTAAAACTTTGTCAAAGGAATACAAATACAATATCAAAGGGAAAAAAAGATAAATATTCCAAAACTTGAAAATACATAAGCAATAACAATTTGAGGAATCAACAGGAAATAAAATGATGGAAACAACATACCTCGTCCGGAAGTTGGCAGGCCAAAGTGGAGAGAGGCACACTATCATGTCCTACTGCACTTTCAAGGGCAATATGCAAATCTATTTCTCCCTTCAGTTGCCTTTGCAGTGTCTTAACCTGCAAATAAGAACAATCAGTAAAAGAGTGTAATTGCTGCAACCAATCTCGAACAATAACATCTCCTGTAATACCTGTGATACTACTTTCCAATACTTTTAACAAGTTTCCTAGCCATTTCTTACTTCCATTTCTTACTTTATAAATTCTGATGCCAGGGAAAATGCTCATATCCTTTCACAATTATCAAATTTAGAAAAAATTGTGTTCTACTTCTACATATGACACATGCATGAAACATCATTCATAATAGTTTATGACATAGGTGCCAACAAAACTAAGCAGATTAAACATTTGTAAACCCTAACATAAAAACCATGAGAATGCTTCCAAACAATTAAGAACACGTTGATAGAAAAAGATTTTGATTCTGGCTCTTGAGTTGCATCCACAGCATTTAGAAAGATCAGAGGCTGTCTTGCTTTGGTCACCATCATCACCATCTAACCTTATCCCAACTATTTGGGGTCGGCTACATGAATCCTGTTCCGCCATTCTGCTCATATGTTCAGGATTCATGACAGGATTTGGAAAAGCTTTACACTAGCTGGCCTACCTAACTCAACCCTCCTCCTTTACCCGGGCTTGGGACTGGCTTGGGGCCAGCTAAGGTGGAGTTATGTAAGCTGCCTTTTTTTTTTTTTTTTGGGGGTAGTTCAGTGGGGATGACGAGCCCCTACCACGACCCCAAACCCATTCTCTTATGTAAGCTGCCTTGCTTTGGTGATTTTCCCATATGCTAGTCAAGCTTCTAGATGAAGCAAACACAATCGACTAAAGGCTCAGAATTAAGATAGAAATGATTACTCTTCCAGGAAAAAAAGGAAAGATAAGAACTATGGTTCCATCGGCTCATTAACTGAATCTATAGCAAAAATGACCAATCTTATCATATGAAATACCACTGGAACTGCAAAAAGATAATGACCAAGGTACCACATATGGAAAACAGAATCCATGTTTTATTAAGATATTTACTATAAGATGCCTGAGCTACAATGATACAATTATGCTTAGCTCTTTAAACCCTCCTTAAATTATCACTATCATGTAGAGTCCGCAAACAAGATAATGATGGTTATCATGAGTTTTGCTTTAATAAGATATTTTGAGAAAAAGCAACAGGACAGCAATATGAGATACTGCAGTCTTGAGCTTAATATGTTTCGTGTGATGATGAACCAATAGATTTGAAATGATGTGAATTGCTTGAATAAAGGTCATAAAGCATGGAAGGCTCATGTACATGAATGCAAGGATTTTGAATATGAGCCCTCATTCATGAACCTCGTGACAAGTGGAGACACAGTATGGTATTGTGAATCGATGCTAGGTTATCGATACAATGTCTCACCTTTTGCTCTTCTAGGAATTTAGTGAATAGCCTAGGAGATAACAAAAGTTCATGGTGAATAGTTAGCATCTAGTAATGCAACCTAGTTCATGACAACATAAAAAAGAAAAAGGTGCGGTAGATTGGTTTTTTTAGTGGGGAAACTATAAGGTTCAAACCCTTTGCCCTTGTCAGAATCAAATTCTTACCACTAAACCAAGGCCTTAGAAGTAGACCAAAATCACATTACAGCAACATACAACATCAAGTAAAGAGTGATAAAGCCACACAGAAGTCAATGAAAAGAGTAAATCAGATATTAGCACTTATTCTAGCAGATAGCAACAAGACATGGCCAACATAGTAAAGAAACAAACTGCTAACAATGTTTTTGAGAGAGTGACAGTGAGCTAGAGACGAGCTTGAATAATTAGTCAATAGAAAGCTCTAAACTGGGGGTCTGTAAAGGGTAGCCCCCCTATTGAAGAATAACTAACACCAACCACCATAGTCATGTGAGTGTCAACAGCCTTAATATCAAAGAGACCTACGGGTGAATGAGTCTACTGGCAAATTTGTGTTTAGTGAGCACAATTGCAGGTAAACAAAAACCGTAAGTTCATATGTAGAGACCCAAATTTTGCTAAGGGGATTTCCTAGGTGCCCAAACCCCAAAACCCTTGGACCTAAACCTCTAAAACACCATACCTTAGTCATCTTGGACCCTCCCAAGCCTAATAGACTTAAAAACTACCCAATACCAACCTGGAAACCCTGAAACTAACACTTCAGAGTCATCCTTCCAAAAACCCACCTAAATTAAACTGAATGCATTTCTATATTGTAGAGGGCATATAAGCTTTAAAATAATCCAAGAATCACTCAATTCCGATGTGCGGTTTGAAAGTTATGCTCAAAACAATATTCATTGCCAGAAATTCCATTTTAGTCCTTCAAAGGTGCATTGCATGTTTTTGGGACCAAAAACTCCCCAAAATGCTTGTTTTTAAGGCCACTAACTAGTGTACCCACCATGTCCAACAACAAAGAGCGTGTCTTGCACAACACATAGTGCATCATTGCGAGATTAATAGCTCATATTGTGCCACCACTTGCTGGAGGGCAGTTACAGCGCTTGTGGCCTATAAATAGTGCTTTCGCCTGCCATTTTAGGGTCTAAAACCTAGCTTTTATGGCCTTTGGCCCCTACTTCACCTCTTTTACCATTTCACACTCAAACCCTAGAAATCCTAGGTGCCTAACTTTAGCTCCCTATGAATGCAGCCCCTAGGACAACCTGAAAATCACGAAACGCCAACCCAATTCCCACAAAACTTGAACAAACCAAGTACCTTTTGAAATCTAACCTAATGAAAACCTCAAAACACCCTTAGGCTACCCTAGGCATTCAAACTCTCTAACCTTCCACTCTCAACTGTCTCTATCAAAAACCCTAAAATCTCAAGTCTAAAACAATCTCTGGTTAAAGCAATCTCAAGGGATTGAGGAGAATTTCATCTTGTGCCATTTCAGTATGGTCTACGCCACAGCTCGGAGTGTCAAGCATATCACTGCAAGCATACCTTAAGCGCATACCTTTCGCTTGGGGAAAAAACGAAAACAAGGTGCCTATGGGTGCCTCAAGACAGTGACCACCCATACTCTAAATAGAAAGTTCCTCAAAGGGATGAGCATTGGTTGTTCAAGGCATCAGTGAGACATGTGCACACGCAAACCCCCTCCTTTCTATACTTCTACACTTTCCAAGGAGGGCAGCATTGCCCCCTCTCATTTTTCTTATAACCAGTCCCCTTTCTTTTCTTGGTTTACATACCTGATCCCAACTGACCAAGTGAAATTTGTGTTCACTGCCGCATAAGATCCCTCATCATGTGCTCAAGGCGATTGTCACCACGACTAGAATTGTAAACATCGAGAAGTGATATATTGGAATATTGGCCGGGTTTGGAATTGATGAGTGTAATTACACCTCTAAATGAGATAAATCCAGATTTCCAGGCATCTAATCTGTAATAGAACCTGGTATCTAAAGGCTGTTGTCCTTGATACAATATTGTCATTGGAAAGTAAAATCATATTATTTACAGAATAGGTGGTTGATATGTTTCGGTTTGTTGCATTGCTAAGCAACTGCAAGAAAAAAAAGTGGCACATATTCATCATAGAGTGGTAAGATGAGCACGAGGTAGTTATCAAGGACACAATGGCCTATCACTGAGTTATGTTGTCAACCTACACTAAAGATCCCCAAGTGAAATGAAGTTACCTGAAACCTTGGCATGACTTAGTAGCCTTACATGAATAATTTGAGGTACCATGCATATTACTCTCTTCTTTCACCTTTAATGGTCAACATTTCATTGACTAAAGAGGCAATCATAAAGTTGCATACAAAGGTGCAGCCAGCCAAAGACTAGTGCAAAACAATGCTAAAGCTAAAAACTAAATCCCTGAACTTCAAGGACCCCATGTGAAGACTCGTACCATCTCTTTCTAATACATTGTTTTTGGGACCAGGAGCAAGGGATTGTTAAAGGCTAGATGATCCCGATGGTTGGGAGGAAGGTATTAAAAATTGCTGGGTTGGGTCGGAATTGCCAGATCCGACCCCGGAATTGCCAGGGCCATCCCGATTCCCTTAAAATATCAAGAATCAAAACCATAAGTTGGACGGTTCTCTGACATAACCAATTGGTTTTATTAGGGAACAGGGCGATCCCACCTGCTGCATCACGTGATTCCATAAATTTTTTAATTTATCATATTTTTCTATTTTTTATTCATTGGGCTTTTTTATTACCCATTGTTTTCCCAAATTTTTATTTTTTTTTCACATTCCCCACATCTTTTTGTGAGTGGCGCCACGCTCAACTCACGAAGAGGAGCATCAACCAAACTACATCATGAGTGAAATCCCTTGCCTCCATTTTATAGCTCTTGGCCTTCCACAACCTAGAGGAAATGCCCGATGTGGGATTAAACCCCATGTACCTTTAAAGAAAGAGCCTTGCCATCTCTTGCTCATCTATAGTCTAAACTTTTAACAAAGTAAACAGTGTTTACTAAACCCACAATCCCTCATTGCCTTGTGAACATCTCTCTCTCTCTCTCTCT